ATGATCGCATTTAACGTATTTTAGATATATGGTGTCAGTCGAACCATTCGTCTGGAAGGATCTGCAGAAAACCATTTCCATGACGAAATTACTGAAATGTGAGTCGCGATGTAAGCAAGATTCTACAGAACCATTTTATATACAGGTCGGTGTCTTTTCCGTATATATTTTTTATAAAATATATATATTTCTTGCTTTAGACGTAGTTTTATTCGCTTAATAAAGTTGACCAATATTCTTAGTAATAAATAATAGAGGAATACAGAATATTCGTTTATATAGTCTGTAGGAGAGATCGAGCAGGTATATTTTGAGAATACCACTCGTCATACCATGGCTAGCACTGTCTACAATGTACATCTATATCCGTCTGTGTATCTGAAAAATTTCCTACCGATCGATATTATCATCTGTTTGCCTGGCACAGTTCAGGAAAACTTGCTCGAAGCAAGTGCCTCTATGCAACTTCCTACGATTGATCCAGTCAAGTCAAGCATAATAATTAAGGTAGAACATACATCAATTAATAAAAATGTTATAATAATTATTAATAATTATAATAATTAATTATTAACGTTTATAAAACAATATTTGCGATTGATTTATTTATTGTATTTAAATCGATTGATGTGTTATATAGCTACCCAATTATCTGGAGAAGGATTGGTCATGTGTAGGCGAAATCATGGCGGACCCACCAGAGTTTGCGGTTTGGTCATTTGAGTCTTTCGACAGCGCGCAGAAAGTGATTCTAGATCTTGGAATGCACACGTCTTACAAACATGGTTCGATCGTCATGGCGCTGTATTGTCCCTTCTGGATGCTGAACAAGACTGGTTTAATGCTGTCCTACAGAGTATGTGTTTGCAGCGATAGTTTCGTCGCTTTTGGTAACTTTGCCTCTTTGCATACAATTTGCAATTGATTATTATCTTTACATCTGCCAAGGAATAGCGAAAGTTCCCGAAAATTTTTAAGTCTCAACCGCATTTTACAGAGAGCCCCTTTTGCATCAGCAATACGTTGTCGAATTCTTTATTGATACGCATTTTTCTTATGTCAAATAATATTCTTGTACTAATGTTTGCTTCCTCGCTCGATCTTCAGCCTTTCTTGTGCCCCCCATTAGTGTATCGCAAGACTAACCAGCATTGCATTTTGCCTGATTAGCCTTGTATTCAACATGCTCCATTATTTTACAGAAATCAAGTAAGGTTGGCAAAGAGCACTCGAGTCCGATGAAGGTAGAGATTTCCTGTTATCGTGCTGCATTATTATGCTTTTCATAAATAGTCATCTTGTATATTATTAGCAAAATTAGCTCTCAGAATTTTCTAATTCTACACTATTATTTTACACTATTAAGGTCCGTTTTTTATTGCTGCACTTTGAATCGGGGCAATAAGTTGAAGTGAAACAAATATACGTTTGTTTCACTTCAACTTATTGCACCGATTCAAAGTGCAGCAATAAAAAAAACAGACCTTTATTTTACACTATTATTCTATACTATTTTTGCATGGGAAGAACAATTTTGCTGAAGTATTTAAATATTTAGCTAGATGCAGATCTAAAAATGATTTTGTTGAACTGCCAAAATAATCATGTAGAACGCTCAAACTGATTGCTAAAATATCGAAATTTTTTTGCAGAATTACTCACGCTTAAGTTTTCTGTACAATTATTTTGATGATCCAACAGAGTTATTTTCAAATTTGTATCTATTTAAATTTTTTAATATTTTAACAAAATCGTTCTTTTTATGTGGATTGTTAATAATAATTATACAATGACTTCACGAACAATTATCATACACCGGTTAATTGTCAAATTAAATTTTTTTGTTGAATAGACGTTGATATTCATCGCTTTATTCGTGAAAATGTATGTGCGAACGTCTTTCAGAAAATCGTTTCTGCTATGAAACCCCATCGGCAACACGCACAGTACAGGAAGAGGAAAACTCGCGCGGTGACACATCGCTTTATTTCAATACTATCGCTGTTCTCGTGTTCGCTTATGTCCGCAAGACTCAATCACTGTCAAATAACAATCGTCTAATCTAGTCGTACCACCGGAACTAAACGGCCTCAAACTGTGTTAGATTATCATTGTATTAGTCGCAATGTGTCGATTTTTACAATTGCATTTTATCGAACATAATCATACTCAGGGGCGGCGGAGTACATTTTTTGTATGTGTGGAGGGGTCCGGGGGGGGCGCATGTAAAAAAAAGGGTCGAAGGAAGGAATCCTACTTCGAGAGAAATGGAAATATTTATAGATCTATACTTACAATATACGATAACAAACAAAAAATGAATGAACATTTGATTGGTCCCAGAGGAAAAGAGGTTTCCATCAAGAGCGAATCAGACCGCGCAGAATTGTTAATTGAGATATCGCCAATAAAAAATCCAATGAATTAAGGTACATCTTCATGAATCGCAAAAACAGATTTTGAGCGGCTCGTAAAAATGTACCTATACTCGTTAAAAATTTAGGTTTGCTCTAGCTCAACATGTGTGGAAATTCCACACATGTCAAATTCACATGTATATGTCCTCCACCGTTCCACATATACCTGTTCGCCACCCCTGATCATAATTGTACATAAATTAATAGTAATTAGCTAACATCATTATGTATAACTGTGCTTTATTACACACGCTACTTATTTTCTGTTTCCTTTACTTATTGTTAGTCCTCTCTATTCTTAATTAATTTATATTTACATTTTTTTTTAATAGCTGTATTTTTAAATATGCCAATCCTTCAGTCCTTGATCATTTCCTCATTTTTAGATACTAGACGTAAAACATCCTGATTGCAACGCAAAATCGAGAAAGTTTGTATAACAAGCTAATATTATGGAGGTGTTTGTTACTTGTTCTTAACTGCATGATATTTCGAAGGTATTTTTGATGAGCTGAACGTCAAGATTAATTTATATCGATTGCTCTTTCCAGACAGCAGATGATTTCTTGAATGTCTTGTGCCATCCGGAGCATTTCAAGGGACCTATTCTATTTTCATTCCGCTCCAAAGCTTTCTTTGGTAAGAAGAAAGCCATGATCAGAGTGGAAGACGGAGAGTGGTCCGACAAATTCTCCATCGATGTCGCGGGCAGCGAGGGTGTGGTGGCCTGTAAATACAATGGAATGATATATCAGGTTCTTATGTTATTAATTTTTATTCTTTTTTTGTTTACATTAAAACTCGATTTATTAACAAATTGATAATATGATATAATATATTTAGGATAAAAAAATGAAAAGTAAGACAAGAAATAAATACAAGTAATAAAGCTCTAGTTTTTCTGTTATAGATCGGGGTACACAATCAGCTGACATACAACTCATTGACCAAGCAGATCACGTTTACGCCGTACTACATACTTATCAATAACGCAGATTTTCTTATAGAATGCCAGGAGGGTGACCGACCAGCTGATCCGACAATCAAAGTACGTTAGATATAAGAAATTCTATTACTATACAAATTTTTTAGTGAAATATTACACTACAATATCACTGCTGCATGCCAAGGTGCCTCCTGGTGAATGCGCGGCTCTGTGGCCTCGAACCGAACACGATAACAAGACTTTGAAGGCTAAAGTCGCAAGTCAACCCGAGAAAACCGCGGCGTTTATTTATACCGACAGTCATACGACTCTGCTGAAATTGGACAATAAGGTAATCAAGCACAGTAACAAAGAGTAATAATTAAATATATTTTATATACTTCAGATATAATTTATATACCTATAGAATAAAATATTATCTCTCTACTAAAATCTTGCGTTATGGCACATGCCCTTTATTTGATTAACCACTTGAACTTTTTTATTGTACACATAATTTATTTATATACTGCGAGCACAATTAACTAGAATAAATAATGAAGTATCTCGCGTTTTGTACCTCTAACAAACCTTTTTCACCATAGTACGGAGGAATCAATGTAGATGTGCAAATCAACGAGGGCGGCGTTTACATCTCCATGTCGGCCTACGTCCCAGGCAATGCGCCAGCTGTGATCATGAATCATACACCGCATACTATCCATTTATGGGAAAAAGGTTCCATCAACATTAGGTAAGTTGGGAATGTGCCAACGAGATTATTAATGCGAGAAGACTTAGCTGTTTTGTTTTTTTCTTAAACGACTACCTGATTTTTGTACCTCAATTAAAATTACTATTATTAACAATATTAATCTCGGGTTAAGCAGAAAGACTTGCGAGGAATCACCCTGTATATTTATTCGATATGAACCGATGTATGTTGTCAGGTCCGTGCAGTCGTACAATAGAATGTTTTATACTTGGGAAAATCCGGCGGGCCCACGAAAACTGGTCTGGGAAGATAACAACGGCAAGGAAATCGAGGACAATCTTCGCAAGGTAAACGGAATAGATGATCAAAAGCAAGGTGAAATGTTCATAAAAGTGAATAATGAACACCATCCTCATTTCTTTTCCAGGATAATCTCGGCACTTTCCAACTGCCGGAAATAGACGAGAAACTGTTCTACGTTTCGTTCTTAGACGGTACACAGAGAGTGTTGCTGTTTACTACAAATTTAAAGATTGCTGAGGATTGTCAACTGGCCGGTGATCTGGAAGTAATCGATCAGGAAATCACGTTGAACATTCACGGCATTGGATTTTCTCTCGTGAACAACATCACCAAGTCCGAGCTGTTATATATGTGCATCGCCAGGTAAGAATACTGCAGTCTTTTAATATTAAATTTTATTTACACACATACCTCGTAATTTTTTTAAATTAAAATTATATTTTTAACATAATTTTATTTATATAATTTTACACATAATTATAATTTTTGCACACACAATAATTGACAAATATAAATTTAATATTATTTAACGAAATAATTATACTCTTTGTACATATAATTATGTTACTACCATATAAAATTAATGAGATTCTGTATTATAATTTAGCTCAGGGATCATATGGGAGACGCGTAAGTCCATCGGCGGCCGCTGGCGAGCGTTAAGTGCTAAGGAAGTCAACGCTATCGAAGAGGGATATCAACGATACATTAGAGAATTGCAAATCGGCAAAATGGATGCGGACTACCGGATAATGTTGGACCCAAAACTAATGGTAAAACAAAAAGTTTTCGCTTAATTGAAGTTTTTAAGGCTTGGATCAAATTTAATTTCTGGACCACAAGAAGCGTTTATCATTAAGTAATTTTTTAAATCGTTTTTCATTGTTCTTAGGTGGATTATCTGAATATGGAGATGCTGAGGCCGCATCGTAGATACATGCGACGCACCTTTCAGACTGGACTTTGGCTGCAGTATCGTACCTCAGCGCATCAGGTACAGCTGCACGCAAAGATCAACAAACTTCAGATTGACAATCAGTTGTCGGAGTGCGTCTTTCCAGTTATATTAGCTCCAGTGCCACCGCCAAAGAGTGTCACGCAGAGTACAGGTATTATCTATTATTCTTTTGATATAAAAAACAATATCTTTTATTGCATCTGTAATATGTATTTCAATTTTAATTTTCAAGTATAGATATAGATTGTTTGAACACCTGAGAGAAAATTTTAGGCAGTTGGTAAATCAGTACGATTGATATTATGAGATTCTAAATTGTAGGTAAAAAAAATTTTGAACTTTTCTATCGATTAGAGATTTAGTTGTATTCTGTACTTCAAACAAGATTCTTTAAAAATCTAGTTTGTAAAATACTATAGTTGATGGTTAATCATCGTATACTAATGAAAACATAAGTCCTGAATTTTGTTAAGAATTATATATCTATTTTTCTAATTTTTTCTTATTCTTTGTTTATTTTTATAGTAATGAAACCTTTTGCGGAACTAAGTATGGTCAAACGCCTATTGGAGCACAGCACTGTGCAACAATTTCGATATTTTAAAGTTCTTATACAAGAATTTCATATCAAGGTGGATATTGTCTTCATAAACGCCATAATGGGCCTATTCGAGGCGAACGAGGTCAACGATGCGGAAGAGGTGAGACACGAGATATTGCATCTTATTTAGATCGTTTTGTAACGTATAGATCTGTTTGTTTGTTTCAGAGTGCTTTATTCTGTAAAGATATGAAACTAGTCAACAAACCGTTAATGTATCACGTCAGTTTGATCACCACGGCCGAACAGAAGAACTTTTTCGATCTGTTGCACTTTTCGCCTCTCAAGGTATGTCACGTTTCAATATATGGGTACAAAGATGTAAATGCAAATGTTATTATCTGATAGTTAAATCTTTATCTTCTTTTTCTTTCTTTGTTCACAGATACACATCAGTTTTTCAATGACCGGAAGCGGAGGAGGGCCCTCCGCGTTGCCGCAAGTACTGAACGTGCTTTTGCAAGGAATTGGAGTGACGCTGACAGATATTAACGACATTGTGTTCAAGTAAAGCCTTTAATTAGTACAACTTACGATTGAGGGAATTGGTGGAATAAAAGCCTAATTACAAAATCTTGATTTTAATAAAAATTAAAATAACTTGTTACTTTTTTATTATATCACAAACGGGAACAGTATTAAATGTATATTTATATAATGTCTTTGAGAAGTTATATGTTATAATATTTCTCTATTATGATCAATATTTGAAAAGTTATTTGCAATTTAAAAAATGCACTTAGAAAAATGCTCTTTTTCCGAATATTGATCATAATATTGTAAAAATCGATAGAAAGAAAAGACTATGAATTGCAGAAATATTTTTTATTTTTACATTTTTCTAGCTAGAAGAAATACAAAACGAATATGAAATACATTTTACTTTTACTTGTACAAAATAAATTGAAATAATATTCAATCATCATCTGATGAATTTTCATAAGATTTTTTAACATAAATATATTGTAATGAAAACACATTATTGTCGTACAATTTTCGTTCAGTCTCTGGTAAAATCTCATTAATGATTTTAAATCATTTATACCCTTTTTCCATAGATTATATCATTTTCACCACCACAGAACAATCGAAACACGTTCATATTTAACTAAAGTAAGCAACATCAATTCCTTGTTTATTTGCGCTAATCTCCGGAAAAAGAGCCCAAGTAGAATTGTGCCTTTATTCCGCCAATCCCCTCAATTAGTACAATTAAAAATATTTAAAAACTAGAACTTCTGAACTTTGTAGTCTTCGTATTGTATAAATTCTTATAATCTAAAGATTATAAGATTCTAAGTATTTTTGTATTGATATAGATTGGCATACTTTGAGAGAAACTACGTGTTCATGACGCATAAGCAGCTCAACTCCGAGGCGAGCACTCATTACGCGGGCCAAGCAATTAAGCAAGCCTACGTACTCGTGTTGGGACTCGATGTGATCGGTAATCCATATGGACTAGTAGTCGGAACTATGAAGGGTATCGAAGATCTGTTCTACGAACCCTTCCAAGGAGCCATACAGGGTCCAGGAGAGTTTGCGGAAGGCCTGTTCCTCGGGGTGCGTAGCATGTTGGGCCATACCGTCGGCGGAATGGCGGGCGCTGTATCGAAGATTACGGGAGCGATGGGTATGCATCTTCCTCGAGTCTTTTTTGCTCGACTAAAAAGTTGTATTTTTACACTCGCAAAAGATAATGTTACGCAAGAACTTCACGTTATGCTTAACTGTCGGAATTTTTAGCATTTGACAATTATTATTTTAAGTTAAAATATTATATATACATTTATTTATTTTATTACTTACGTTTTTGCAGGCAAAGGTATAGCTGCTCTAACCTTTGACAAGGATTACCAGCGAAAGAGACAAGAACAGCTCAACAAACAGCCCGCCAACTTACAAGAAGGTCTTGCACGGAGTGGAAAGGGTTTAGTAATGGTAAGATCACGGATTAATTATTCTGTTAATTATTTAATTTAATATATCTATGAATCGGGGTTTGTCATTTAATAGGGTGTAGTCGATGGTGTGACTGGTGTGGTAATGAAACCTTTATCAGGGGCGAAAGAGGAAGGAGTGGAAGGATTCTTCAAAGGGTTTGGAAAGGGTGTTGTTGGACTTGTCACTAGGCCTACTGCTGGTGTTATCGATTTTGCAAGTGGTTCCTTTGGAGCAGTCAGGCGGTATGACTTGTTAATTATACAAAAGCAGTCTTAATTAATGAATAAGACAATTAATTAAAGTTTGTAATTGTTTAGAAATTGGTTGTTAATTTATACAATATGGTGGAGATTACCTTCAATGTATTTATTTCAGAGCTACTGAACTAAGTGAGGAAGCAAAGAGAGTACGATCGCCTAGATTTTTGCAACCGGACAGTCTCGTTAGGCCGTACATAAAGGATGAAGCCGAAGGCAACAAGATATTGATGGTAAGGGTCTATTTTTCTAAGCATCCTTAACACTTTTATCTTCAAAATTTTTAAATAAATTTTTAAATGGTCTATTCCTAGTAGATTCATTCTATTATAATAATACATTTTTACAGAATACGTTTCATCATTAATTTATATAGGATATTATAAATATTATAAATAAATGAATAAATAAAAATTGAGATGCTCTATATAAAGAAATATTTTTTATAAATTGTATGTAATATCTGTAAAAAATTATATAGAATTAAGTTTTATTATCTTATATGTAGGAATATTCTTATACACAACAAAGTTTATAATTTATTTACACATATTTATATGCAGAAAGATTTCTATGTAAGACTTCTTTTTTATAGGAATTGGAAAAAGGAAAATATGCGCATACGGACGTTTATGTCTATCATGTGTTCATCAATAAAGACGTGCTTTTACTCACCGACAAAAGATTATCATATCTCGAACGTAGTGATTTATTCGGTGGCTGGCGGGTTAGTATTTATTACATTAATCAATTGACTTTGTTCGTTGGTTTCTTCAAACTAAAAGAACTAATGTATCTATGCTTTACCTTTTTTCAGATTGATTGGAGTCACACTTGGAACGAATTTAGCGAATCGACAAAAGTCGTAGAGAAAGGTGTACAGATTTTTATTAAGGATATTAGTAAGAAAAAGAAACTCGGCCTATTCGGCAGTGCATCTCAATCAAAAATACTTTTAATAACAGATTTTAATATTAAACAGGTATGTATATCGTTAGTTACATAATTTCACAAAAGTATTTTCTATGAAATGTCATTATTTTACATTATATTTTGATATACATGTATATTTTACTACTTCTCTTTCATTATTATCTTTTCCGTAGTTATTGTGCAGTAAAATACAGGAACAAATTAATCAATCCGGAGTATAACGCAATGACGTGCAAATGTGAGAGAGAAACGCTCGAGCAATTTCGAGTTGTATTGTAAAAGAAAACAAGTGAAAGAGAGAAGGGAAAATCTTTACTTCCGGAACGCTTCGCGAACGAATTCGCACAATTTCTATGCACGTTTTCTACAGGCACTATTTATAAGACTGATACTGCGTGATCGCAACAATCAGATAAAGGGACGTTACTTATATAGTGTACGAAGAAACTGAAAGGACGTAAACGTAGACGTAAGAATATAAAGGTACCAAGAAACTGATAGGACGTACGGGATCTTTTTTATTTTACTTACCACGCAGTTGTTCAAAACTTTTATGTTGTCGGTATTATTACCGGGCAAACAACGTTGGTACAAAAGATTCATCACAATCTATCAAATAAAACTGAAAACACGAAATTATGTCGATTCTTATATATTAACTTTATAGAACTTTATTGTTATAATTTTATAGGAACTTTATAGAAAAAAATCTTTTGTGCCATGCTAATAGTTAAATGTAGAAATATTGCAAAAAAGAGTAATGTTTTTCAAATTTATATTTATAGAGTATCGTTTCGACACGATTAAGCGAATCGTTTTAGTCATGCAAGAGTTACCATTTCCATCGTATTGTTAAGGGCTAGATTTACTACGATCACGAAGCGGAATCGATTGATCGGGCGAGATTCGAAAGTAATTTTAAGACAACAGTAAATTGTACAAATTAAAATGAAATGAGCTGAAATGACATCTGAGAAAAATGAATCTCATTTTGATGAAAATGAAATTAAATTAACAGAGCAATAAAATTCTTTCTAGGTACTCATTGAGGTATTATGCAGATTTTTTATGAAAATCTCTGGTGAACCGATATTGTTTTATATTTGTAGGAACTTAGTTTATCACGCATCGCTAACTTGCCGCATTGTTAATCACATTGTAACGCGAGCGTCATCATCAAGTGATACGTATGTTGATTGATAAAATAATGGTACGCTTAATTATCTTCCTACTAACGACGTCCAATGAAAATATTGAGGGATTTGCTATAAACAGTATCTTCTATAGACGCATTGTCAAGACGTAATAAATTTTATTATTGAGCTTTAACACCTAAACGATTGTGTATTGGTGATACTTCTACCTCGTTTTATTCTTTTTAACGCTATAATAACAACTGTAAGAAAATTTAAAAAGGAAATATAGGCACAACAGAGAAACTATCAGCATCAGGGCTGTGTGATTCAGTGGTAGGACGGAAGTCTACCATGTCGGAGGAGACCAATACTCGGTTCTAATCTCGGAGCGTCCCGATATTTTTCTCGTGTTGTCGCTTATTTCTTACACTATATAGAATTGTAACCAACTAATAAAAGAAAAATATTTAATGAAATTATTTAAATATATAGTAATAACGTAATCGATCCTCGTAATTAATTTTTTTTCACTCGACTTGGAAAGTTTTGAAACCAAAGTGAAAGCATTCAGTACTAACTTAATTCGTGTGACGCAACTTATTACTTATACGTATTTATTACTTAGTGTACACTGTATTATACAGCTTATTATGTCATTAATTTACCTATACTGTTCTGTTGCAATATTTAATAAAATTATACATATTTTCTGTATATTCTGTCTTGTGTATTGCAATACCTTTTTGTTCAATCGCTCGTTTATTTAACTTTTGACTGTACTTTTATTACGTTAATTATTATCAGAAAAAATGAGGTCTTTATTATTAAAATAATATTTTTTAATATATCTAAAATATATTTTTAATATTAATTGCACTTGTTGATATTTAAAGCGACTGCTTGGCGAACTACATTTATCTTCATTTGCTAATCGCAGTTGCGATTGATTGACAATAGATTCAGCGCATAATTAGGCATGTTGAGATACTATTAGGTATAACAACAAAAATCAGAGAGGAGCAAAAGATCAGGAAACGTGGCAGTGTCTCCGGCTATGTTCAAAAACTAAAAGACACTATTAAGTCTTTTATCCCGAGCCCCCAAAGTCCATTTTTTGGGGGTACAGAATGACTAAAATATAAAAAATTTTGAATCGCACGTAACATATCCTGAAAGGCGGCATCGCCACGAGTAATTTGAGCCAAAAGAAATAAAAATCGGTCAAGCCGTTCTGGACATACAAGCAGTCAAAAAGTGATGATTTTCATGAAAAATGAAGTAACGTATCCTTCTTCTCTGTTCACAATCACATGCACCTTTCTTTTCTCTCACCTTTCACTCAACTTCGACCCACTCCACCTCTCCCCCCTCCCATCCTCTATATATTGTTGTTTTATCTATTTATCTTTATATAAGGTACGTACATTTAAACAACTTATTCATTTTAATGCAAATTGAAGTTAACTTAACGATTTATATTTTAAAATTGATATTACAATTACTATTAACAAATTAGATTCTTAGAGTGTAGCATTAAAAGCAAGTTTTAAATAAAAAAAAAATTGAATAAGAAATTTTATTGTAATTATATATATTTTTATTACATAGTAACAATATCTGTACTTTTATCATTAATAACACTTTTAATTTGCTTTAATTTAGTAAATTTTCGTGTTACCGGAGGTAACAAAGTAAAACTTCTCATGCGATCTTAAAAAAATGTTCATTTATCAAGTCAGCGAAAGCAACACGTCGCGAGCAGACTTAGAAAATTTTTTGCATGAAATGAACATTTTTAAAATGTCCAAATGTAAACATACTTTGTACGTTGAATAATGTACGTTTTTAAAACATTCGTACCAAGTCCATGGACGTTTGGATCGAATTGAAACTAAGTCTGGATGTCCAATGGATGTCCTGTGCTGTCTGGGGTTATTAGTCGTTTCCCACAGTTTCCCACATAGCACAAAGCTCCGATTAAGTTCCCAGGAAGTTCACTTTGCTGAGCTTCCAGAGAGTTTACAAAATTTGGGTAAATAAACTCTCAGTTAGGGAATTTATATTTTGCTGAGCTCTCGGAGAGCTTAAAAAAAGCTTCCTGTGAAACAATATGATGCTCCTAGGGAACTCTCAAAAGTGGACATAGGATTTCCCGGGAATTCTTTTTAAAGTTTAAATGAAGCTCACAGAAATTTTATGATCTTCCGGGGAGCTTCTGGAGAGCACCCTGTGCTGTGTGGGTTGCATACGCTCATTACCCTGTTCGACAAAAAGTCACTTTTCTTTTTCTTCGAAATACCATGAACACATCCCGAAGATTTTTTCTTGATGAACACGATGACATTGGTTAAATTTGTGTAACATACATCAGGATTTTGAGTAAATTGAGATGAAATGGACAAAAAATAGCATTTTTAACGTTTTCAATATCTTTTACAGCCAAAAAAACAAAACCTTGGTTCTCAATAAAGTTTATGGAGTCTAAAAGTACAATTCAAGAGTTTCCAAATGAATTTTAGGACATAATCGTATCGTTTATTTTTGTCAAGTTATGACTGCTTCTCCATAGATATAATTTCAAAACAACTTTCTATTTTATTGTAAAAATCGTAATCGTAAAATTGTATTGGTATAATCGCTTTTATATGTGAATGGTACTGAATATTAAGATCCACTTTGATTGAAAATAACTTTCTTCTCACTTATTTGTGTTGAAACACTTTTCAGCTTGTTTCACTTAATGTTGTTTACTATAAAAAATGTTAAAAATGATCAAAAATGTTATTTTTTTCTGATTTCATTCCAAAAAATTTACACAAAGTTTTGTCACTCAATGCAAATTCTGACTAATGTTGAGCGGAAAAAAATCTTCGGGGGGGGGGATATGTATTATAATATATTTCAGAAAGTATTTGAATGTTGAACAAAGTTATTGTTGTAGAATTTCTTGTATATTAGTGTCGAATCTAACGTATTCAAAATATAAAATGACAAGTCATCGTAAAAATATTGGGTATGGGAATAAGTTTCCGTCCCTTTTTAATGAAAAAGATGTATTTATTTAAACAAAATAATACAAAGTGAGTTTATTCAAAGTATGCTCCGTCGGAAGCAATAACTTTCTCGCACCTTTCCAGTAATAAACAGATTCCTCGAAGGGAAAAATCTGGTTCTTTTGAAGCATGCATTCATCAAGCCATTTTTTAATACCTTCATAAGAATTGAATCGTTCTCCAGAAAAGGCCGACTGCATGGATCGGAACAAATGGAAATCTGAAGGAGCAATGTGGTGAATACGGTGGGGCAGAATTTCCCACTTCACTCCTTCCAAGTATTTCTTGATCGGTTTTGTAACGTGTGACCGCTCATGTAACAGAATCAGCTTGTCGTGCCTATTGTCCCATTCCGGTCATTTTTCTTTCACAGCTTGGTTCAAACGTATCAGTTGTAGTCGATAACGATCGCCAGTGATGGTTTCGGATGGTTTCATCTTCAAATTCTGCATCTTCAAATTTTTTCAGTGCACCTTCGCGTTCTTTGTCACGCACGTCGAATTCTCCATTGTTGAATCGCCGAAACCATTCTTTACAAGTAGTATTTGATGGAGCATGCTCACCGTAAATATCTACGAGCAAACGATGCGTTTCGGCAGCACTTTTCTTTAAAATGAAATAATGGAGTAAAACTTCTCGCAAATGTTGCTTTTTTGGAATGAATTCCGACACCTTCAACGCAAAAAAGTTACTCTTGTTTATTGGTAATCTTCGAATAAATGCCAACTATTGGGCTCAAAAGTTGAACACTCACCTTTCAAATACATGTATTGCTGTTTTATCAAACAAAGCTGTGCTATTAACGACATCTCTCTATAATGGGCGGAAATTTATTCCCATACCTAATAACTAGAATTTTTTATTTCTATAATCGCTTGGAGCATTTAGAGCAAAATTTGTAATGTACGTATATGTATATTTTAAATATTTAATTTTTATACCTAAATTTTTATACCTATCTACAAATTGATGTTATACCTTTTATCATACATAACAATGTTTTTTTGTAAATGTATAATTGCAAGGTAAAATGTTGGCCAATTATTCGCAAGTAATTTCCTGTCTTTAATCTTTAAACTGCTCTAATCTAAAACTTTTTAAGTTTAAATTTCTGTAGCAATTTCAAAACATTTGTTTTTGTTATATTTATATTGTAATACGTAATATTGTTTGTAATTGTAACATTAATTATAAAAATATGACAGATGAATGTATCACTCCTTGTTCCTAATATCTTTCTGATTATAGGCATGACCTACAACGATTACCAATAACACGCTTGCTGGCACAATATTATATTTAACTATACCGACTACCAATAGCACGTTTGCTGGTACAATATTCATCGCAGAATGACGTGTCTCTTTCAAGTGATCTTATCTATTTTAAAATATAACAGCTCGGTAAAAAATTTTTTATGCGTAATTATACATAAACGGTT